ATAAGGTTGCAACCTTAAAATGTAGAAGTAAATATGCACTTCAAAAATCCATCGGAAAAGGTTGTTTTAATGTTGAAAAACTCTATAATTAATCATCTCAACATCGAGATATATGAATAATAATAATAAGATCTTGAGTCCTAGAAATACCGCATCTTGCAACATATTATCTAGACCGTCCATTCTCAAAATTTTCATATGTTTATAGATCTACTTGATTTTAACATTTTTTGAAGTTCAAAATTTTATAATTAAATATGAAAATAGATTTTGAGATAATCTTAATAATTTTTTGAAACAAAATTATATGTTATGATAAAATTTGGAGGTGTGCCTTAATTGGATTGTGTGTGTGTATATATAATTATATAAGGGAATGCTTTCATGCAATGGTTGTATAATAGTATAATGCAAATCACTAGAAAACTATGTTTTTGGTATTTGTATGACCCTAAATTTTGCTCACACATTTTCTTCATCCTCATAATCAATCCTATGGAAAAACAAAATACAATTTGCTCCTCAGAAATGGTCAAAATTAGTAGCCTCCAACAATGAATCTCGACCGTCCATTTGGTGAACTTCAAGATCTAGACCTTAATAAATTCAAAATTACTTTTTCAGCATTGTTAATCTAATGATGATAATGCTATATTAAAATTTTGGGAATAAAAAAATCATTCTAAGGCCTATACCTAACTAACTCACTAAAATTGACGGCTTATATTAATTGGACTATAAAAACACTTTCTAAGGCGTTTTTTCAAACGTTTCTTTTTTGTGATTGTTCTTTAAAATGAAAAGAGAGTACATTTAAAAAGTTGTGTCAAGCAAATGTCTATAACAAGGTGTTTAAGAAATTACGGGTGCAATTAGCATACGGATGCATCCGTAGCAGTAGAGGTAGGGTGCACCTTCAAATTTTATCATGGTATATAATTTTGATGAAAAATGTTCTTAGGATTATCTCAAAATCTATCTTTATATCTAATTATAAAATTTTAAATTTCAAAAAGTGTTAAAATTAAGTAGATCTATGAACATATGAAAATCTTGAAAATGGAGGTTGTTGATAATATGTTGTAAAATGGACTATTTATGAGACTTAAAATCTCTTTATTTTTCATGGGCATACATCGAGATGATCAATCAAAGGTTTTTCAACATTAATACTATATTTTCCAATGGATTTTTGAGGTGCATATGTAGTTCTACATTATAGGGTTGCATCCTTAAATAAAAATTTTCCATAAATTATAGACCAAAAATTTTAGGTCCTTGATTGGTTGGATTTTATCCAAGGAAGCAAATACGCAAGGAAGCAAATACACATTGTACTTCGTCGGAGTATGAAATTCTTTGGCTTTAGGATATCGCCGTATGGGCTAAAGTTTGGGCTTTAAGATATACATGAGCTTCGAGTGAGCTGGTTTGGATAGGCATAAAGGCTAGGGCTGCCAACCGGCCAGAAATTTTTTTGTCTTTTTTATTTTTTAATTTTGCCCATCTCATGATGTTCGTTCTTTTTTAAAAAAAAAAAAAATGGTAGCAACTTATTTTTTCTTTTTTTTTTTTCTTTTTTTAATTTTATTTATAAATATATATATATATATATATATATGATAGCAACTTACCTCGAACTGTTTGGCTTATGTAAATATTGTGGAAGCCAAGTTATCTCTGCAACCTCAACTGTGAAATTTGCAGTCCAGGTAGTAGCCTAAGGTCTAGAATATCAAAATGATCATGCAAGTCAAGTGACAGGTCCAAGGTTTAAGGCTTGGGACTACTTCGCCTGCACAATCTTTGAAAAGCCAAGTCGGATGATCCAGACCCGTCCTTACACTTCACAGAAATAAAAATAAAAATAAAACAGCAGCCACTATTTGGACCCTAGGAAATAGAAGCAAAATTGAAAAAAAAAATGGATCTCTCATAAAATATTTGCAAAATAAAATTGGACCTCCAAGGAATTCCCTTTTTATTTATAGTAAAAAAATTTAATTTCTCCTTTTATTTTTCCAAACCAGGGCCCACCAAAACAATAGGCGAGCTTAGATTTCGTGCCACCACTTGGCGATCTGCTCGATCCTTTCCCAACCCTACAACCAACGAGTTGGGTTCAGCGGGGCCAGGGCTAGGTTTTGGCCTCGGCTTATAGCAAGTGTGAATCAACTGGGCCAAGCTCAACACCACCAGGTCTCCAAGCCAATGTTCGCGAACTCGACTTGTCCAACTTGGAACAGGCCGGTCACACCGAATCGGGTATTGGCTAATCCCTTTTTGGCCAGTTTTGGTGGACCTAGGTATTTAAAAAAGTTTTAAAAAATACATATAAAATCTTTTTAAAAAAAAGGGATTTGTTTGTATCTTGTTTTTTAAATTTAAAACTTTTTATCATTTTTGCAAAGATTAGAAAGTGTTTTGGGCATACTTATTTTTAAGTTTTCCATCTGTTTTTAGAAAGTTTAAAAAAAAACCAGTTGTATTAATGTTAAAAAAAAAAAAAAACCCAGGCACAAATCGATTTCTTTTAGTACTTTTCAACTTCTTTTGAATGGGCTTTGCGCAATCAAACTTTTCCATATCTTTTTAGACTTTTTTTTGTACTTTGTAATTCTTTTTAAGACCTTTTGAACTGCTCGAGTCCTACTCCATTAGAACAGTTGGACCGGACGGTTTACGGGTTACTCGTAACCCGGCCAAACTCCATCCCCAATTCTATAGACCCCTATCGGAGAACCTGCCTCGAGGTGCCTCTTGATCAACACCAAATCAAACAAAACTCCCCAAAAAGTTTCACAATTGTTAACACTCAAAACTCCCCAAAAAGTTTCCCAAACTGTTAACACAGTGGATAGAGAGAGGGAGAGAAAGCCTTAACAGAGTTCGCAAAGTGTAGAGAGAGAGAGAGGGAGAGAGAGAGAATTCCCAATTGTTAAAATAGCAGAGAGAGGGGCACTACAAATAAACAGATCATGGCAAAAAAAAATTACCTCCAATTCTAGGAGCACCATGGACTAATATTCCTCATTGGATTTAAACCCTATGCACCTCCTACACGTTTTCCATACTGCAACCAATAGATTAGTAAGAAAAACACATAGAAGAATATAATCATAGAAAAATACTGAGAGAGAGAGACCTGAACCTATAAGTAGTGCAGATTCGAAGCCAGAGGCGTCAGGCTTCTCACCAATTCTAGAGTTCTCTAAATAGGTGAAATTAATAGAGGTGAAGCGTAATGAACGTTGCCCAAAATAAGAAAAAGGAAATTAGGTTTTCAAGCAACGAGTATCCCTACAAATTACCAGGGTTTCATGGGGTCTTGGGCTTTGCCTCTTGGACCCGTTGCTATTCGTATTAGTTATTTCTAAGAGGCCGGTTCATTTTTAGAAAATTATATAATTAGTGCCCAAAATAAGAAAAAGGAAATTAGGTTTTCAAGCAACTAGTATCCCTACAAATTACCAGGGTTTCATGGGGTCTTGGGCTTTGCCTCTTGGACGCGTTGCTGTTCGTATTAGTTATTTCTAAGAGGCCGGTTCATTTTTAGAAAATTATATAATTAGTATCTCTTCTTTAATAATTTATTACTAAAATAAAAATATTTGATCTCTTTTTGTTAGGTGTAATCATTCCTAGAGCAAGGTTGTAAACACCAATGAACATAATGGAAATCGGCCGGTTAGGATCGAGAATCATTAGGGTCAATCTGGTTCCGGTTCGGTCACATAATCGTCTTATTTTATTTTTAAATATTTTTCAAATTTTTTACATGTTTTTAAATTTTTTAGTGGCAGTTCATTTGGCCTCATCACCAATCCAAACCGGTTTTTTGGAGGCAAGATGTGGGTCACCGAGCCATATTTCTAAACCTTAGATAGGGCTGTGGGGTTTCAGGCTATTTTTGCAAAACGATTAATAAATGCATATATTGAAGGGCCTATGTCAAAGCTTGTGCCAGCTGTGCTTGTTGGAGCGTAATTAATGTGAAAAATTTGTTCAGTTCAATTTCCATTATAGTTAGCAAGAACCTCTCCATAATAGTTATCAAAACCAAACCAGACTAAGCTCAATTGTTAAAGTGCAACCAATGCTTTGGGCGGTGTGGTCCAAATTATAAAATCAAGTTTGATAAAAAAATTTATCAAAAATCCATATTTGACTGATTTTGATTGGTTAGCTAAATAAAGTGGCTAATTTTTTTTATTACATTATATATTTTCAACTAATATTTTCATCTTTGGTGGTCAACACTATGTAATACTTAGGATAAACACTATTCTCAACTATCCGATCTTGATCAAGATCTATCACTTGGATTTTACAAATATATATGTATTATATGTGTGCGGAGACAAGTGAAAATCTCGCCAATAAGCATCGTAGAGGAGATAAAAAGTTACAGCTTATAAGATCGATGACATAATCACTAAGCAGCAGAGAGAGTAGTCCTCAAGGTATGTAGTGTATAAAATAGGGGCACAACCTTCTTGATCAACAAGAAGGCACACACATTCTCTATGCTTATCCTCAGTTCCTCACTAATTCAATGTACAAAGATATCATGACAGAGAAGAGCACATATGATGATGTTGGCATTGGATACAATGTACAAAGACTGTCTCTGAATATAAATTTGAGACCCTCTCTAAAGTCTAAACCATGCATACATTACTATGTGAAACATTTATTCATACATAAACACTTAACACTGGTGGATAATTAAGATTAGAACCCAATACTATAGCAATAGTGGGTCACAATGTTCAACTTTTCATAGTAATCGCCAAATTTTACAGGATCCTAATTCCCCACCCTGAAAAAACCGAGAAGAAGAAGAAAGACATAAAAGTTTTAACATTATAACTGTCCGCCATTTGAATAATGGGTCCCCCTTTCCATTAAGGAGTGGACCGGCTGCCAAGCCAGGCCGGACCCAAGCCCAAGCCTAGGCCAAACAACTGTGCTTTATCTAACCTGAAACCCCATTGTTGGGGCTTTTGAGCCCACCCTCAAGTTTCAGGCCCAATCTGGCCTGGTCGGCCTCCTTTGCAGTGTCATAAGAAGCATGAAGGCCAAAGAAGAAATAGTACACGAGAATCACAGCGGTCCAAAGCCCGAACCTCATAAATGAGTGGGCGTCGATTGATCCCAACAAGAATATGTTGATAGCGATTGATGCTGAAGGGAGCCAAGGCACGAGAGGGACACCCCAGATCTTGGGCTCTCGGGCTTTTGGTACTGTAAGCCACAGACCGCAGGTTGATAGGAACCATAATGGAACGGTGATCACGAATCCTATCCAACCATCTCCTCCTAGAGCCCAGTATACTGCAGTTGCAATAGAGGAACCAATTATAAGGACTATGAATGCAACGAGCTTGGCCCAGTTAGAGAGAGTTGTTTCTCCAGAGACATAATGTCGGCGAACTATGAGGGCTACTCCGACAAGAGAGAATATGAAGAGGGTGGAGATCGATAGGAGGCTGGACAGGATGTCGAGGTCAGTGAAGAATGCGATCACTGCGGTGGCACCAAGCATGACGGCAGTCGCGTTGCTAGGTGTTCCAGTCTTTGGGTGGACCAATGCAAGCCAAGGTGGGACCATGTGGGTGCGGGCAATGTGGGTCAGGTACCTAGCCTGGCCCACCGCACCAACTAGGAGCACAGTGGTCATGCCCTTTAGCGCCCCGAAGGCCACAATGTACTTAGCCCAACCCATGCCAACTGCCTGAAAGGCGACAGAGAAGGGGGCGTCCTTATCGATCTCAGCATATGGCTGCATCAGACATAGAGTCACAGCCAACAGACAATATGCTAGGGTAGTTATAGCCATAGAACCCACTAACCCTATTGGGATGTCTCGACCTGGATCCTTGGTTTCCTCTGCCATAGTGGACACTGCATCAAATCCGACATATGCGAAGAACAAAACAGCCGACGCCTTGAAGACTCCTCGGGACCCAAACGGAATAAAATTAGTGTAATTTTTGGTGTCTGCATGGGTAAGACCAGCAATTATGATGAAGACGATCACAGCAATATGGATTATGGACGCAATGTAATTGAACCGTGAGGTGCCCTTGGTGCTGAGGACTGCAACGATACAGACGATTATGAGCACAACTACGGCGATGGGGTCTAGCTTATTGTAGTCCGGAGCAAGGTTCGTGATGATACGAAAGTCATCGGGATGGTGGTTGAGGAGTGTGGCAAAGTAGGAGGTCCACGCACGGGCAACAGCAGCACCGCCGATTACATACTCCAAGAGGATGTTGCCAGCAGCGATGAAGGCCATGAAATCGCCCAGCTCAACGCGGAGGTACGCAAAGGAGCCCCCTGTTTTTTCCAAGGATAGAAGGGGAGTGAGATGGTGCAACAACGTTGGAATAGATAGAAAAGAATTTACTGAGAAAACGACATGCAAGCACAATTCCATTGCCATACAAGATGGAAGATAATAGAGAACAATATGCAAATAGAAAGATATGCAAGCACACAAGTTTCATTGCAGTACAAGTTGTAAGAGATTGAAGAAGTCACAATAAATAAAAGGAAATTGTGGCAAATAGGTCATCCTTTTCATTGTCCATTGGACGAGAATGACTGGTACTTGAATGGGTGACCTCAGTTAAATATGATCAAAGAGATAATGGCTCAAATTTAGTAAACTGTGATTAATTCACACCTCTATACAGTAAACATTCTTTTGGTATGTAGCTTTTACGCATAAAAGAATCAACAGAAGAGAGGCTAGATTAGTTTGTTTGAGAGAAACTTTGAAGGTTCAAACCCTCGACCTCCCTAAGCCAAAATGATATGTCTCTACCATAAACTTAAATCGAATCGACATAAGATTCACATGTAAAAAGCTCTTTCAACATGAGTCTTTTAAATTTACAAAGAATCTCTCATGAGAATTACTAAATGTTCCCATACAACAACATATGTGCAAAGACAAATCTAGTCTGAGAATTTTCAAGGAAACTACCAAATATTCTCACATAATTTCATGTCCCAGGCATTCGAGTCTTAATCAGTGCTTTCAATGGACCAAGTAATGGTAAAATGTAGGCCTTGTGAATCAAAATATTACCCTTTAACAATATGAGTTTTGAAACACTCCCAAGTCCGACTTGGATCAGATGAGTCATTAGACTCAGCAGGGTGCCCTGTCTGAGTACAAACCTTGGGAATTGGGCCATTCTCACTGGTTCCCAAGGCTTTTGTTATAAATTTGTTTAGACTCGGCTGTGTCTATCCCCCTGAATTGGGCTTCATCACAAGTCCAGGGATTAGAACATTTAATAGTATTAATCAATGCTCTCAAACATTACAATCCAAGTATTGAGACAATGCACACCGTGCTCTTATCAACACTGACCCATCAATAATGTAATTTCGGTCTCTCGAGAAAGGGAGCATATGTATTTTGGATGCATACCTGCTACAGGGATTTCAACTGCAAATTCAGTGTAGCAAAACACAGCAAGCATGGCTGAAATTCCGGAAACAACATAGGAGAGGACAACAGCTGGTCCAGCCCCTTGCTTGGCCTCGCGACCCGTAAGCACGAATATACCAGCTCCTATCACAGCTCCAATGCCAAACCACATGAGATCCCACCATTTCAAGTTCTTTTTCATTTCGTTGTGACTTCGAGCTCGAATCTCATTGAGTTCAGTCTCATCAAGAGATCGAGTCAAGATCCGATCTTTGAGCCTCGGCCACATTTCACTCAAGGACCTTGTGTAATTACCCCAACTTTTGAACGACTCTTCGGGTAAAAAGTCTTCTTTAGTGCAAGTGCAGCCCCTCCTTCTCAACACTTGCGGACGGTCGCCGACTTCCCCCATATTCTCTACTCTTATGAGAAGAAAGAGAGGTAGAGAGAAAGTGGGTTAGGATGAGTTGCTTCTAGTTTGGCCTGCAGCTGCAAAAAGAAGGAATTGTTAGAGCTTTAGAATGGAAGGAAAAAGGCTTTGGTTAGTTCCTAATGGACATAAAAATACATAAACAAAATTAAGTAAGATCATTTTTTGTCCCAAATTTTCATAGCAACCAATTCGAAGTTGACCATTGCACAAAAATAGGATTACAGATTAAAAAGAAAAAATCTCGGTGTGTTCCAGAAGCCTTATAATGTAAAACCATGAGAAGGCTTCGTCTCCACGAACCACTAACAGTGATCAAAGTTTACTGATCTTAAAAGAACCATTATTACATCATAACGTGGGCTTATCAACACAGCTTTCACATGGTTTTGATATGATAAGGCAATTCATACCAGCAATTAAGCAATTGCATGTTCAACTCAGGATTCGCCCAAGTCGGACCAGTTCGGAGGGCTGGAGATACCTGGTCTGAAAAACCAGGCCCTAGTCTCCCAGTTTTTTAGTATCTTGTTGAAATTTCTTGGTCTGCCTCAGGACTCACCAGTGTGAGACCTGGGGGGGACTCCAGCCTAGACCCACCCTTGGTGAGTCCGAAGCTAAAAGTAGCCAAGGACTTTTAGCTTCCACATCTTTTTCTTTTCCTTAAAACAATGGAACTCAAAAGTTCCGATTGCAGAGGACGGTGGTAGCTCAAAATTAAAACCTACATACATGAAATCACTCCTCATAAAAAACGGTTGAAGTGTTCCTTTTCGACAACTCCTATATAAATCCGACAAAAGATTATGCTCTCGCAGGTATATGCTCCAGCGTATAAAAGATATCTTGAAGTACTTTAAGGGCAATATTTTTTTTATCTTTTATTTTTTTGGGACGTAACCTCGTCAACCAATAGAATAACACAAATATAAAATAGTAAGAAATAACAATGCTTAAATGCAAGCGCCCCTGAAAAATAGTGCCTTATGATTGGACAGAAACGGTATGATATTTGGGAAGTCAAATCTGTAATATAAAATAATAAAAAATAACAATGCTTAAATGAACGTGCCCCTGAAAAAAATAGTGCCCTATGATTGAACAGAAACAGTATGATATTTGGGAGGTCAAATCTGTGGTAGAAACTCAAAAATTTAATTTTTTTTTTTTAATTTTTTTTTTAAAATCCTCAACTGGTGATTCTAAAGTGGATTCCAACCTAACAGATCAAGAAAGTACCCCTACTCCTAGGTCTCTTCCCGAGGGAGCAAGTGCACAGTCTGGTCCCTATGGAACAAGCTTTGAACTAAATATCTGGAAACTTTGATATGAGCAGACTTTTGAAGACAATGAACCACCCGTTCTTGACTTAAGAGGCCCTCAAAGAGGGTCATGGGCAGCCAAACTTGCCATTTTTTGTTACCATTTGAACTTTCAACTGGCTCATTAATTATGAACATCCAGTAAAATTCTAAAAAGAGGAGAGAGAAAATAGAATATAAAGAGGAAATTTTTGGAAATTTTTGCATAAAAAAAAAAGAAAAAAGTTTATATAAAGTTGCAATGTAGAGTTAGGGGTGCACCTCAAAAATCCATCTGAAAAGGTGGTTTTAATGTTGAAAAACCTTTTGATTGATCATCTCGATATTGAGATGTATGACTATAAAAAATAAAAAGATTTTAAATTTAAAAAACAGTGCATTTTACAACATAATATCTACCCCATCTATTTTCAAGATTTTGATATATTTATAGATCTACTTGGTTTTAACCATTTTTTAAATTTAAAATTTTATAATTAGATAGAAAAATAGATTTTGAGATAATCTTAAAAACATTTTACATCAAAATTATCTACCATGGTAAAATTTGAAAGCGCCTTACCTCTACAGCTGTGGATGGATCCGTATGCAAACTGCACCCAAAAAGAAAACCGAAGCCATACCATTTAAGAATTCAATCAGGTTGAAAAAAGGAGGAATGGATCCCTACCCCGGTTATCAAAATAGCTAGCTAGTGAGAGAGAGAAGACATCAATGAGAGAGAGAAGCATCAATAAGAGAGAGAGTATAAAAAAACATCAATAAGAGAGAGAGAGAGGTCATTTCTTTCTAAATGAAAATTTGTAAGTGTGTTTCTAAAGGGATTTTCTATAAGAGAGAGTAAATGGAAATTTCTAAATGCAAATTTGTCGCTTTCTATACCATATGAAAAAAAGAAAGAGAGTAAATGGAAATTTCTAAAGGGGGCCGTTTCTATAACTTTAAACAATACAATTAAGATGCAACTCCAAATTTTATCATAATATATATAATTTTATTGTAAAAAATTTTAGGATTATTTTAAAAACAATTTTTATATCTAATTAGAAAAATTTAAACTCAAAAAATGGTTAAAATCAGGTAGATCTATAAACATGAAAATCGTGAAAATTGACGGTCTAGATAATGTGTGGCAAGATGCACTATTTTTTAGACTCAAAAACTTTTTTTTTTAATACATACATCTCAATGTCGAGATGATCAATTAGAAGGTTTTTCAACATTAAAACAACATTTCAAATATATTTTTGAGATGCATACATAATTCTACATTTTAAGGTTTCAACCTCATGTAAACGTTTCCCATTTCTAATGCAAATCTGTAGCGTTCTATACCATATGAAGAGAGAGAGAGGGTCGTTTTCTTCTCACTGGGAATTTGTAGTTCTACATCATTGCTGCTAAGGAAAAGAGCTCCTATAGTCAACCTTTTCCAATAATTAAGTCACAACTCATGGTTTTTTATTTAAAATGAAGGAAATTTTATCATGAATGAGGAGTCAATTAAAAAATAATAATAAATTAAAATTGCTCACTTAAATTTGCATTGATTAGAAAAATCGACAAATCATAAGAAATCAATAATAGCACAACATAAGGAAAATATGGAAAACCATCTAATAGATCATCACGATTATATGGATATATTAAAAAAATAGCACATCTTGCAAGACATTATCTGGGCAGTTCATTTTCAAGATTTTCGTGCGTCTATAAATTTACTTGATTTAAACTATTTTTTAAGTTTAAAATTTGATAATTAAATATAAAAATAAATTTTCAAAATTTTTTAAAAACATTTAGCACCAAAATTGCATCTTATGACAAAAGTTAGAGATGCGCCTTACTTTGTTGGAACCTTATGAAAACCACCCCCTGACATGATTTTTTGCGGTGCACCTCATTTCAATAATATAAAGTTGCAAGTATACATAAAACTTTCTTCTACTTTAATTTACCTCTTCAAATAAATTAACTGGAAAATATATCTCTCCGTCCCCCCCCCCTCCTCCTTACATAGTGTTATAACTGAAATCTCTCGCTCACACAAAAAGTATTAAAACTTAGGACATGTTTATCTCGTGAATATCTTTACGTGAATTAGTGTGATTGTGTTTACTCGAGAGAATTCTTTTTATGTGGTTAAGTGTTGAAATATTTTCACACCAATTAGACGCTCATTTTTTAGGTGAAACAAACATGTTAGAACGAAAAGAAAAAAAAAAAAAACCTCTCTTGAATAATTACAACTGATATCTCTCTCCCTCGGCACTATGGATGCTCATTTTAACAAGTAACAGCACCTCAACCTTCAAAAAAATATGAAAATTTACAGAATATTGAATATTTCAACAGGCCCAAAACAGAATTTAACAACTGAAAATAGCTTAAAAATTGAATATTTCATCTAGCCCAAAATAATGGAAATGTCTCTCTCTTTCATACACACAAACTCCCCCCCAAAAAAATAAAGTTTCTGATTATTCCTGTAATAAAGAAAACACCAAAATCTAAAACAAAAATCGTAATGAAAAGATTTGAAAAAGGAAAAAAACATTCGAGCAAAACACACAAATATCCAACTAAACAACAGAAAGGGAAACTTCAAAATAAACGAAACACCAAAATCCTGCAATCAGAAAACGAAAACACAAATAAAATCTTCAACACGTACCTAAAAGCGCTTTAACTCAAACACGATACTGGTTTCCCATCCGGAAAAGTGGTTTTCCGTCGAACAATAGTGGCATCACTTTCCCTTTCCAGTGAAAATTTTGACGGATAGCAGGAAAATTTGTAACAGTGAGCCGGATAAATTGTTTCCCGCAAGAATCGACCAGAATCTGGCCTTCTCAAAGAAGATTCATGGCGATACTTATAACAAAAGCCGCTCATATGATTTGAAAAATAAACTGCGAAAATCTCTTTCTAAAAAAATATGTTTCCAAATAATGTGAACGCGAAATAGCAAGTTGTTTAAGGCCACGATTTTGAAGGGGGACGTGAAGTTTGAATGTATTCATTTGTTGGTTCATAAGGAAGGCTAGACAGAGACCTACATATAGAAAGCTAGGAAAAGTGACAACCGTTTGCCATAAAAAAGAAAATATTAAAAGAAAAAAGACAGCGATTTTGGAGCTGTCCTATGGCTATACATAAACTTATTCCCGGATTTTGAGGGTGCAGAAATAGATAAGTTTCTCTTTCTAAAAACTTAAGAGGTTATCTTAGGGTATTATAGTATAATTTTATAATGTACTTAACAATTTTGGACATTTATATATAATGATTTCATACTTCTTTCTAATAATTAAAAATATTTTTATGAATAAATTTTCTATATACAAAACAAGAGTGTCAAAAATTATTGAATACAATGATAAATTACTTTATATTGTGAGCACCCTAACACAATCTAAAATCAAAAAGTTGAAAAAAGTTACTTCATCAGTCAACTCATGAACTCTCTCCCTACATTGTTAGGAACCCAGCAAACTTTAGAGAGAGAAAATACATCAGCAAACTTTAGAGAGAGAAAATACATGTGTAGGTTTATATTTAAGAAAATTATATTATATTATTATTTATTTTTGGTACATAAAAGTCATGAAATATTGACCATTGGATATAAAATCGGGTGTTAGAGGTGTCTAGTTGAGTGGTATCGAAGTTTAAAAGAAAATTTTTCGAGCTTTGTTGTATTCCTCGAGCAATTTCACATCTACCTGTTACCTGTTATTGGGTACATCCTTGTACTAAATGATCTTGGAGTACGCTATTCCCTATATTTGTTAGGAAAAATTACAGTTGTATCATAAAAAAAAAGGGGTATTTATGTAATTTTTAAGCGGAGGTATTATGTCCTTTTGTGTTTTTCTCAACATAACTTTCGGTCTAATGTTTCAAATAACAACATGTTTTTTTATTTTATCTTCGATTATTTGACTGGAAGATTACACCGTTACAATATAACATATTATGTAGGCTACCCAAATCATGTATCATTTGGAATGTAGGCTACCCAAATTATGTATCATTTGAAAAAAATAAATAAAATTTGAAAACTTATTAAAAAAACATTTGCAATGTTAGTTACAATTGTTTTTAAATTAGAAGAACCACCTATTTGCATCCATCTTTAAGATGGATGCTTATGCCTCTTGACCGCATATTGTAGAAATGTTGTCCAGCCCTCATGAAGCAATTGTTCTTTTTTTATTACATCCATTCTTTTGCCTTTTTATTTCTTCATAGCACTAAGAGCAGGTTTGGGGTTCATATAATTTTCAGAAGAAAACTTGTATCATGCTACATTTGTTGTTCACTTTTTGATCATTCAATCTAAGTTGTTGAACTTATTATATGGAGGCTTATAAGAAGTTTTCCCTTTATTTCTAAAGAGAAGAGATGGTCTTTTTACATTACAACATAGGTGATCCTAGTTTGTACGATTTCCCCTTAATTAAAGAAATCTGAAAGGATTCTTAGAGGTCTCTTTGTGAACTACATTTCTATCTTATAACCAGTGTTTTAAAACTCAGATAAGTGGGGTGAATCATTCACACTATATATCCATATTGGATCACTAGATTGGCAATTTAGATCGGTTAAGATTAGTCTAAATCAATGATCGGAAAAAATTTTAAAAATAAAAAATAAATTTAAAATTTAAAAAGAGATTTCTAGGGTTGGGATTTAAGAGGGACCAGGAAAATTTTAGATAAACTTAAACAAAAAGAACATGAAAAAATGAGGTTTTAGGGTGGGACCGGGCCGAGACCTATACCATCAAAGAACCGATTCAATCTTTGTCAATTCTGGACTTGATCGACGATCTGGATAGGAAATCACCATATTTTAAAATATGGCTATTATCCACGCTAGAGCTAGTAAGCAAGAGATTGTAATAAAAGGAGCTTTAGTTAAAACCTTACAAAGTAGGATTTGAGATACAACCAAAATTGTCGATATTATTTCATATAAAATATTGGGATAAGATTCAGACGATGAGAATAATGATTATTTCATTTGAAATGCTCATAAACAAAAGAACATAAAACGCAATCTTGATCATCTTATTTCATTTGAAAAAACATAAAACGCAATCATTGATTATCTCTCAACCGTGTCCAAAACATATTTAGCAAGTCG